AAAGCAGGCGCGCCGACCTTTTGCAAGATGAAGGGACAAGCCATCCATGCAGGACTCTGCCAACAGGCTTCCCTTCTCCCCAAACTTGCCTGTTGGTACCCTTCTGCACAGGCGCGCCTACTAAACCCCCAAAAAATTGAGTGACTGTGCAGCCTACGCAACCGCAACTACGGGAACTGACAACTAAGGACGGTCGAATTCAATTAGCGAACTTGGTCGCTGCATGAACTTGTACCACGGGGCCAGCACGTCCGCCAAGGTTATACGCACCCGATTTGCTTCAGGGAACTTGGCCCTCATGACCAAGGGCAATGGCTTCGCTTCTGGGTGGTTCAAACGACTTAGCAAGTCAGCCTCTTCATTCCGCTCGCCTGCCACATGGGACAGCTCCAAGGCCACTTGAAGGCCATCAGCGCAAAGCACAGCGGCGGCGCAGTGGACATGCCCTTACTGCAAGCCGCGACCACTGGCATGTTGTCGCCATATTGTCGCAAGCGCACACAATGCAACTGAGCGGTCCCATCAACCTTTGCGCGAGCCAGAACCAGAGCCAGCTGCGCTAAAAGCTCCAGAGCACATATAGCTGCTTGCATCTTTTCCGGCCACTGCCAAAGATCGGGTAATTGGCCCTGCTCAATTTCCAGGCGGAACCAAAACAGTTTGTTTGACTCCAAGGCCCGAAACCAACCTCCTATGCCTGAGAGAGCAGACCCGGCCCAGGCATCCGCCGCAGCGTCCTCAGCCACCCTCTCGCCGGCCCAAGAGAAACTGTTGGTGCAAAACACCCGCTGTAAAGTGTGCAACGAGGACAACGAAACCGGATCCAGATCCACACAGGGAGTCCATGCCGAAAACCGGACCCAAATCTTGCCCGTGATCGTTCGGGGCTGTTGCAGCAGACGACGCGCATTGATGACACAATCAACTGCCTTGCCACCCACAGCGTGCAAACGCCACCCCTTTTGAATATCGCTTCTTGCAGCAGCAGACTGGACTACCAGCCCGTCCCCCAGGATCATGGCCAGCTCTTCTAATTGCCCCAAACTCAGACACTGCAAGCGTGACCCTGGCTTGTTCAGCTTGATAAAGAGAGGCGCAAGGAAAGCTCGCAATGCGAGTCGCACTTGAGTCGCCCAAAGCAGAAACCCCAAGAGCTGAGAGAGCTTCTTCCGAGGCACCCGTCGCGGATGCAACCTCCACCAAGCCAGCTCCCTAAGCACCTTCGCTTGCTTGCTTTCCGGCAAGGACGCCCAGAAACCAGAATGCAAGGACAACTGCCACCCCAAATAGGTCAACTCGGAACCCAATGCCAGGACAATGGCACAGCCAAGATTTGCAAAATAGCCAGCACCAGCACCACCAGCATCGCGAACGCCCCCCGCGGCAGGAGGAATAGAAAATCATCCACATAAACCGCCCCCAGGTGGCGGTGGCGCACCAGGAAGTGTATGGTTCGTAACAGCAAAGCAGAAAGCCTCGACCACCAAAACGCCGACCACGCGGCCCCGAACTGACAAGGTACACATTAATGCTAGGTGGGAGAGAGGGTTGGTGTTCCTGCCTACCCCGACCAACCGCGAACACCGGTACATGGATTAACAATGGGATGACATGGGGTGACATGGGGCATCGGATGACTTGGGAACCAGTCTTCGGGGCGTTCTCTGCTGAACCTGTCCTTCGGTCGTGGGCACTCGGATTTGGCCGCCAACTGTTGGACCTTCTTTTGGAAGGAGATGGCCTCAGGTAGCGATGCCAGGAGCCCTTACAGTAGCTTTACTGGTTGGTGTTTTCAACCCACTTGAAAATATTGAAAAGAGGGTCCAATCATTCCAAGTAAGGGTTGAAAATATATATAGATATCCGAAACCATCACCTAGTTTTATTATTGTTACTAGTAGCAGGCAGGAGCCCCAGGAGCCCCTAGTAGCTTTATTGTTTCCAGTAACAATGCCAGGAGCCCCGCCGTTCGTAGCGTCCTTGCTCCTAGTAGCGAGGCCCTTTGCTCTAGTAGCGTCCTGTGGTTACTAGTAATAGATGGCCTCAGGTGATCTCAGCTCGTGCCACGCTTTGACACTTGGCGCGCTGGAAGATGCTCTGTGTTCCACTGAGGATTTCACGCGAAAGCCTCACGGGTGGGTCGAAAAGTCGGAATCAAAAAGACACGAAGACAGACGACGACAAACATGGCGTTTAACACCAGACGACGTGTTTTGCACACCATGCTACATCACATGCGATCCGATCTGTTCTCGACTTCTGCAGTTCGAAAGTTCCTAGCTGACAAATCCTTGCAGACTCAACGAATAGGTGTGCCTTGTAGCAGCTCTGTGAGCATGGCATCCGCCCGAGCCTGAGTCTCAGCAAAGATTGAAGCATATTTTCTCTGACTTTTATGTCTTATCATCTTGGTCAGTGTAGTCAGTGGTAGGAAATGCGTGTAGACTAGTTGCACGTGTTTCAGTCTCCCTCCAGCCTTAGACATTGAAATCGCGCTCATTTTGGCCTTGAACAAGAAAGCACTGTTCTGATGTCTCGAGTCTCTCCTTCCTCGTTTCAAGGAGTTTTCTTGGTGCAACTGCTCAACTATGCTCAACTGCCACCTCTCAAAGCCTCGTTTTCCTTGGGCTCGGACTGTGAAAGCCTCGTTTTCCCCACAAATCTACGTCGGTGACCTGCACACGTCGCCGGTTCTCGTCACGGCGTGATCATGAGAGTAGCACCAAAGCCGTTTTTCGGAAAGCCGAAGCCTCTTGCGTGTCACTTTCAGCGTACAATGAGCCCAAAAGCAGTTGTGGAAAAGGCCGCGTGGAAGAAGTCGAACGGCAACCAGAAAGACGGACGTCCGAAAAACGGCCAAGTCTAAAGGCAACAGTCCTCGAAGGCCATGCGTGTTCGGCGGCTCGTTCGCTGACAGAGAAAACAACAGAACTTAATTCTAATAGCTTCTTGTTCCTAGTAGCGATGCACTTGTTACTACTAGCGATGCACCTGTTACTAGCAGCGTCCTTAAACACAGAAATCATGCTAAAGTGACCCCAACTAGAGAGCTCCATTTTGCCAGCATGTGCTAGCATGAGTAGTCAATCTCTGTACAGACTAAACCACCACGAGTCCACTTCTGGGGTGGGGCCAGTGATTTCAGCATGTGCTCGGGCCCGGCCCGGCAGGGCAGGCCCGGCAGGCTGTCTCTCTCAGTCAGCCTTCAAGAAATTTGGATAATGCAATCAATTCCGCTGCTATGGCCTTTCAGTACGACACGTCGCCACATAATACTCTAGGGCTCCCCATAACAGTGCTCCCGCTCATTCATGGCGAAAGAATCTTCCACAAAGACTTCTGCTCCACAAACTTCCTTGCCAGCTGTGCTTCTGCCTCAGAATGCACGTTTGATGATTGTGCTTCTTTTAGACTGTGGGGAGGACATTCTAGACATGCATGTGAGTTGCAATGAACTGTTCCACAATCATCTCCTGTGCAAGTGCGTCAGCATCGTAGTCAGCAAGCACCTGGAGATGCATGTAATCCTCAATGTTTAAAATATTCAGAAACCATTCACCTCGATTTCTGCCAGCGGTGGTGCTTCATTTCAAGTAACACGTGTTCTGCCCACCTTTGTCATGTGCTTCTGGAATGTTGAGAATGAGACAGGCTTCCCACACGGATCCAGGTTCTGGCCTGTGCCGCTTGCAAAGGATTCCAAAGCGAGGAGCTTGCTGAAACAGTTGTACAGTAGGTTGGACGCCATCGCTAACAGTAGTGGGCCATTCCTATTTGTTAGGTTGGAGGCCATTGCTTCTAGGTTGGAGGCCAGTCCTATTGTCGGCTACCATATGTATTTTAAGTCAATTGAGTGGTAGACTTTCCCAGGTTATCTTGTATTACCTTGCATTCCAAGCTTCGAAACAAGTTGCGATACTTTGTGTGAAGGAGGGCGCGATCTACCTCACCGTAATGGAGGATTGCAATGATTTCATTCAACTCAATGAGCTCGGACTCTTCCAGTAAACCGTTGGAATTCAGATCTTGCAAGTTGAACCTGGGCTGCTAGGACTCCGTCTTCCTTTGACGAAATATATGTCGTCATCACCCAAAAAAGCTCCGAAACGAAGACCAAGGACTCCAAACATTTGTATGATCATCGGGGCGAGGTGGAGCTTGGTCGTTTGTGGAGCGCTTAGATCGAGTGGCGTCTTGAATTGCAATGGTCTGTGATGTGTCAAGGATTGAAACCGCGCAGTGCGGAGAATCCACGAAAAGTTTGCAATGATTTGCACGAAGCCTCCCGGACGGTCCAGCCGACTCTCTTCTCTTCCCTTCTTGTCTCTTGTCCCTTCTCTGCTCATGGTGCCCCTTCCTTTCCTCCCCATACGCTACGAACGGGGCTCCTGGCCTTACTACTAGTAACAATAAAGCTACAAACGGAGCAAAGTGCCTCGCTAGTAGTAACAGGTGCCTTACTGGTAGTAACAAGAAGCTACTAGTAACAAAGTGCATCGCTAC